GTGTTTGTTTATGCTTGATGATGATAATGAATGCTTAATTCAAGAACTAATCAAGCTTTTAAGAATCTAAGAAATTGATTTTTTAGTATTTCCATGTATAAACATAAAGTAATAGATTATCATGGAAAGTTAATTTACTACGAAATGTTTAAACATAGAAATATGAGTTGATTCAAACAAGAGTTTTCAAGGTAACATTGTTAATCAATTATCATTCAAGGTAATAGATTAACAAGTCTATTATTGGTAAAGGATATTTAAATGTCCTCTGTGTTAATAGATTTCTAAGTCTATTATTGGAAAAGGATTTTCAAGTGCTGTTTATGGTAATGGATCACCAGAGTTGGTAATAGATTAAAACAAAGTCTCTTGTTTGAAACAAGGTTGAAAAATCAAGATTTTCATCAGGATAATCGATTATCACATGAGATAATCGATTACCATAGAGTGAAACACAATTTTGGGTCTTAAAAAGCTCGGGATAATTGATTATCATATCCCATAATCGATTACCCTGGTAGTTTTATGTTCCTGGTTCAATTTTAAAGAGTTGGTAACAATTTACCATATCAAGTAATAGATTACCTCTATTATTACTCTTTATAACTGAATCACATCTTGCACTTTAAATATCTATCTTTTATCAAATTAAAAGTGAACAATTTTAGAAAATATTTTTGAAAAAAAACATAAGAGAAAAAGATTACTTTTAGAAACAAGAATCAAAGGATGATCAAAGAAACATTTTCTGAAACACTAAGAAGTGCAAAGATTGAACATGTGTTCTTAAAGGAAGAAATTCAAGAACTGAACTCAATTGTGAAAGATCAATGTCTACACAAAATAGGTGATATCTTTCTGATCTTTTAACTTGTATTTTTGTTTTGTATGGTGTATCTCTTGAGATAGGGTGTCTCAACAAGAGATCTTGAAATCTTGAGTTAGATTTCTCAAGTAATTTCTGTGGGGTACAGAAATTTATGTGTTTTTCAGTCTTAAAGTGTCAATATTGATGTATGTTTGCGTTCTTGTAATATTGTATGTGCACGGTATTTGAAAACAATATTATAGTGAATGATCTTTGATTTAGTGGGGTATTAAATCAAAGTAAATTGGATGTAGGCCAAGTGGATGGTTGAACCAGTATAAATTTTTGTTTTCTTTATCTTCTTACCCTTATCTCTTTAAGAATCTTGATAATTTCTTGATTAAAGAATTCAAAGACTTGTATGATATGATATTTCAATTGATGTATATAGTTTGAGTATTATTCTTATAATTAAATTTTTTTAATAAGAAGGTAATATAAAATCAACCTTGATTACAAGTGACTGTTTTGCTGCATTAACTTTGATATTCTAATATATGGGTATTGTATCTTGTAATCTACTATTATTTATTAACTCAAATTGATTAAAGGTTGAGTCTTGAATATTGTAGTAAGCCGATATCAAGAAATTTTGAAATTAAAGTCATCTTAGGCTAGAATCTATTCAACCCCTTTTTTAGATTCTTGTCAACTCGAACCAATGCATAAGTCATCTACTTGTGTCTCGAGTGGTGTTATGGTGGAGAAATCTCTAAAGGAAATGAGGGGCTACTAGGGCAAGTTGTAACATTTCGACAAGACCCTGACAGACATTCCCAATTGAGGTAGTTCAAGGGGGTCACTATTGATGGGTGGTCCCATTCCATTATTCTTAAGCTATTTTGTATTCTTGATGATGAGGAAAAGATTGGTACCACATGTATAAAGTTACAAGCATGCATTACATGAGTCTTAAATCATGATTATATTTTATTTTTTTATTGAATGATATTGGTTGATGGAAGGAGATATACCAATTGTTATTACTGTTGAGAATTACTAAAGGTATGTGAGATGTAATTTATATGTTACTTTGTGTGTGTATACCTTTATGTCTTGTATATGTTGTGTTATAAATAAGATGTATTCTCACTCCTTGTGTTTGTATGTTTGTGTTGGGTTAAATGTCATTTGCAGGATTATAATAGGTAAAACAAGATATGTTTGATGAGGGGAAAAATAAATAAGGGTTTTGCTCTAATAGTATGACATCGGAACCAAGTTTTAATTTTAGAAATTGATAACTATTGAATTTCTCTTTATTTATATTTTATTGTCAGAGCACTAATAATTAAGAGGTTATGTCTTATTTTGATTCAAAAAAATATTTTATATTTCTTCATTAATTAAAGTGATAGATTAAGCTTTGTGAACCTTTTTACTATGTATCAACGAGAAAAGTTTTATTATTAATTTTATGCTATTTTCCATGATTTTTATTATTTATTTATTTATTTGGGGTAGAAGGGTGTTACATGATCCATGGGAAAAGGGTTGTTTCGCTCATGGGATCTTTTAATGGAAGCTATTTTTTAAAATTTACCCCATGAAACCCCAACAAATTTGAGAGATGAGGTAAAGAAACTTGATAAGCTACATTACTGACTCTATACAATTTGATACAAATAAATGAAACAATGTGTAAAATTTCTATACTTCAAGGTCTTACCAACCCTAGTCCATGGAATGACTCTCAAGAATATATGATCACCTTCTTGAAATTTTAAGTTCTTTTCTTATTTGAATAACTCTTTTACCTACTTTGAGTTTCCCTCATCCTATCTTGGATCATCTTAACATTTTCTGTAGCTTGTTGCACTACATCAGGTCCTAGTACAAGGTTCTCTCTAGATTCACACTAACACAAAGGTGGTGCCCTAAACCTTCTCCTATACAAGGTTTCATAGATGTCATCCTAACATTGTAATGCTAACTATTATTGTAGGTAAACTATATCGAAGGCATAAAGTTATTCCAATTATCCCTTTGTGCTAACACATAAGCTCTAAACAAGTCCTCTAAGAATTAGATAGTTCTCTCGATTTGGCTACCAATTTCATGATGATAGGTTGAACACAACCTAAGCTTGCCTTTAAGGCTTGGTGAAGACATTATAAAAGGCACACAGTAACAATCTCACTAATGTAAAAATTAGGCAATCTCTCTAAAATTTTAATTGGCATAAATTGAGATAACTTAGTAAAAAAAATACTTGTTTTCAATCAATATGAAAGGTTAAGTTGTTTTCAAAAAATTAATTTAATAATACTAAATTTAAAAATATTTGTTGTTGTCATTTAAATTTAATAAATTCAAATTCATTTAGTACATTAAACCTTTTGATGTTATTTTTATAAAGAACAATTTATATAGGAACAATATTTATTTTAACATTATAAAAAAATATATTCAAGAATCAATTAGTTGTTTAAGATGTCATGTCTTTTGAATATTATTCAATTACTTATGGCAAAACCTATTTACATAATTTTAAAGATTATTTTTATAAAATTAATATGTTTATTTATACGGATATTTTTTTAAAAAAAATTGGAATATTAAAATTTAAATTAATATTTTAAAAAAATATTTAAATT